TGTGTTTTTAAATGTTAAATTTTAGACTGGGTTCAGTGTGGCAGCAACGTTAAGAGTATACACCTGATGATGGCCGATAGAGGCCGAAACATGTAGTGTAGAAAGAACAAGATCAAAGACATATAATATATATTGTTTGCACTTGGGACGGAGTTTGTATCATTTATCGTGTAGAGTGCAACAGGATGCTTAAATATAATACTTTAAAGTATGTTCTTTCATTAGCTAAACATAAATTCTGTTTATCAGCAATAATTTTTCTTTTATTCGCCTTCAAAAAGAGGAAGTTTCTGCACCCCACCCTGTATAATTAGAATGATCAAGTCAAGGAGGATGAGGTGGGCAGGGCATGTAGCACGAATGGGGGAGAGAAGGAATGCATATAGGATATTGGTGGGATAGCCAGAAGGAAAAAGACCACAGGGAAGACCAAGGCATAGGTGGGTGGACAATATTAAAATGGATCTTAGAGGAATAGGATGGGATGGTATGGATTGGATTGATCTGGCTCAGGATAGGGACCAATGGAGGGCTCTTGTGAACACAGTAATGAACCTTCGGGTTCCATAAAATGCTGGGAATTTCTTGAGTAGCCGTTCCTCCAGAAGGGCTCAGCTCTATGAGTAAGTAAGTAAGTAGTATGTACTGTATTTTCACTTTATTTTGTAAATGGTGGCAAAGAAGTTAATCCATATTATGTTCTTGTTTGCTTTTTGAGGTGCTGCTGACTTCACACAGATGTATTAATTGAAGTTCCATATTCACATCTGAGGCCTTCCATTCCATTGCCATAATTAGGGTTTTCCAAAATTTGGAGTCAACGCCAACCAAAACATGGTAGATGTTTGTGTTTAAACGTGTGCCTCTGCTTTGACATGATCATCCCACCTAAGGTGGAGGCAGCTCAGGGGAAGGGAAGGTACTGCACAGTGCAGGCGAAATGGAATGTACAGTTCAGTACAGTTGGTTACAACTTGGAGGGTGTAAGCCACTTGTTATGAACTTTCTTCCACACAAGGGTAGGATGGAGAAGGTGGGTTAACGGGACTTTTAGATGCTGGTAACCCAGAGACACTTTGTCCACCACAAATCCAACTTGACCAGACCCGGGATCGAACCCGGGCTGCTGCGATGGGAAGCCAGCGACTAACCACTTGAGCTATTCTGCTACCTATCTGCTAGCCATAGATAACATAGGAAGAAGAACAGGAATTACGGTTGGTTCAAGAAGTTACGGGAAAACAGTGGCACCTAATTAGGAATCAGTCATGATATATGTGCTGGAAAGAATCCCTTGTTTTATGCTGTGGTTTTCCATGTGTACTGTGTTAAGAAATTAATGAAGTCTGTGTAAGCCATACCCATTCTGCTGTGGTTTCTATGTAGCAAAATGTCACGAAATGAAAACTATGCACTGTCTTGTGAAAACAGAAAACTGTCAGAATAGTGATTGACTAGAATGGATGACTAAGGGTCAGTTTCCAAGTTCCTCCTATAGTATTTGGTCTGTAATGATTGTGCTTATTCAGGAAGCATGCTGAGTCAAACCAAATGATATCATGTAAACAGAATTCAATAAATTATGATGCAACTTCTCTGTATGGAAACACAGGACACTTATTTTTGGCCTACTTTCCTTAATTTGAAACATGATTAGGCTTATGAGATCAGAGAACTGTGTGCTCTACCTAACAGCTTCTCAAAATTCTGTCCAATTGTTGAGGTAATAACCTTGTTATTACTTGAATGCCTGAACTGATCAGATCATAAGGAATGTTGATATGTATACCATGTCACCTGAGGCTATCTTCATGGCACAATATGTAAATGCCTCCCATCAGTACTACCAACACTGCAGCCTTACTTGAAAGCCTGAACTGATCGTCATGAAACTTGATAGGTGTATCATGCCACATCAGGTGATCTCAGTGGCATACATCAGAAATCCATGCTGTCAATAATAGCAACACTGCAGCCCCCCAAAGTGTATTGTTTTATTGACTTCATTATGCATAGGTACTGAATTTTTCTCTACATGTATCAAATACTCAAATTGTAGTGAAAGGAATATAGGCGGTTAGTTCTTTTCAGAACCACTAGTTTAATATAAAATCCAGGTAGTAACATTATACAAAGAGGACACTTATATGTTTAATGTAGCTACTTATTCAGTCTTGGTTTGCAGTGTCATATTGTAATATAGTGGTGTCTGGTGTTTTGGTAACTGGGCATACAGTTCTGGTTTTTGTAATAATTTCTTTCAAAGCATGTTTACAGCTTTTGATTCTATAGTATTGTTTACTTTTTATATAAATGGTAATAGTCACAGGTCGTTTCTTCTCCTATAGGATGTTGTTGTTCATGTGTGTGACGTCAGCCATCCTGACTACAGAGCACAAGCAGAGACTGTAACAAGCACTCTAAGATCTTTGCACTTAAGTTCACACCTGCTAGACAATATTCTTGTTGTGGGGAATAAAACAGATCTTCTGCCAGAAGGAACAGAAATTGAAGATTTAAATTGTGATGTACTTGTATCGAGTGTTACTAATCAGGGTAAGTGTTAAATATTAATGGGGGTGGAGAGAGATGATACAGAGCAACCATGATCTTATGAGAATTTATTAAATACTTCAAAGTGCATGTTGTGAGCACTTTATCTGAAAATGGTTAAAATACATAACTGAAAGTCCATCCCCTCTGATTGTGTGTAACACAATATGGCACTAAGTTTTAAATAAGTCCTCGCCATAGGTCAGGCAGTGGCGTGAAGGCAAAGCTTGATAGGAAATACTATAATAGCAGAGTGCAGGAATTACAGCCTCCCATACCACATCTTTAGTTCTAACTTGAACAAAGATACAGCAAACTCGCAATTAATCACACTTAGATTATCCAGTTTATGCCTTATCTGTTTGTCTTTTTTTTAGGAGTTCTTGCTACCATGTGTTAGTTTGCGTAGTCTGTCTTTCTTTAGGAGTTCTTGCTACCGTGTGTTAGTTTGCATAGTCTGTTTGTATGCATGAAAAAATTTGAGAACTGCTGGATGGATTTTCATGAAAGTTGGTGCTGGAAAACTTTAATGAAGAGTACTTGAGCCATTCCACTCTTGAATTAATTCAGACAATTGTAAGAGCCACTTCTCACACAGGCTTTTAATTTTTAAAATTTGAGCATAATTAAAATAATTAGTTTTCTGCATGTATTAAAGAAAGAATTTAATACATAGGATGTGATCAGTGTGCCAACACCGTAACAGTTTTTGTGCATACACACTTGATGAAGGTCCTTGTGAGACTGCAACATGTCATGTTGTAGTGCAGGAAGGACTTGAAATAGTAGTGGTTAAACCAGTAACTGCACAGAAAGCTGCACTGAAGACTGTGTTTGTGTATGTATAAATAAAGTGGTAAAATAATGTAGCAGGATGTTAAAATATACATGGTGCAATCCAAAAGTTCCCGAAATATATTAATAAAAACTATTACATCTTACCCAGATATTATTCTGCACCATCACCTTCAAAGTAGTCCCCTTGGGAGCGCATACACCAATCCCAGCGTTTCTGCCACTTTTCAAATGCATCCTGGAAGTCTTTTTTGTTAGGGTGTTTAGTACCGTCTGCATTTCCGCTTGAATTTCCTCAACTATCAAATCTTCGCCCCTTCAACTTGATTTTCATCTTGGGGAAGAGAAAGATGTTGCATTGAGCTAAGTCTGGCGAGTATGGTGGGTGGGGAACAGCTGCCATCTTGTTTTTAGCCAAAAATTCCTGCACAATGTAAGCCGTATGCGGTCGTGCGTTGTCATGGTGGAGTACCCAGTCATTCGTGCGCCGCTTCTCTGGACGTTTTCTCCTCATGTTCTCCCTCAAACGCCTTAGAACGTCGTGATAGAACTCTTTATTGACTGTCTGACCAGGAGGGATGAACTCCTTATGAACAATTCCGTCAATATCAAAAAAACAGATCACCATGGACTTAATGTTGCTCTTGACTTGTCGAGCTTTTTTTTGGCAGAGGTGAAGAAGGACTCTTCCATTGCGACGATTGCTGCTTGCTTTCAGGGTCGTAGCCATAAACCCAACTTTCGTCACCAGTGACAACCTTCGAAAGAAAGTTTGGATCCTCTTGAAGCTGTTGCTGAAGTTCCCTGCAGACTTCCAAGCGATGCTGCTTCTGTTCATTTTGCAGCAGTTATGGCACAAACTTCGCCGCAATCCTCCTCCTGTTCAATTCCTCTGACAAAATTCTTTGACATGTACCATAACTTAGCCCCAAGGTGTTACAGAGGTCTTGGATGGTCAGTCTATGATCTTGCAGAATCAGATCCCTAACTTTCGCGACATTTTCTGGTGTTTTGCCCCTTGACGGCCATCCCGAACGATCGTCATCATCAGTCGATGTTCGGCCATTTTTGAAACGCTTATACCAGTCGTAAGTTTGTGTCTGGCCTAAACTGTTTTCACCAAAAGCTTGCTTCAACATTTGGTGCGTTTCTGCAGCGAGTTTCCCAAGTTTGAAACAAAACTTTATACAGACATGCTGCTCTCTCAGGTCAGCCATCGCAAAACTGCAAACTCATGGAAACACAACAATGGAAATACGTTCACCAGCAATAAACCCAAGCACTCAACTCGATGCCGCTTGCCACACTGATTCAAGAAGGATGTGTGAGGAGACACCTAGCGGTATTTTGATGTACTCATAACCATTCACGCGCAAAATTCAAATTTCGGAAACTTTTGGATTGCCCCACGTATTTTAAACAGAAGCAGTAGAGAAAACTGAAACATATTTTATCTTCAGTATGCTGCTGCTTCAAGTTGTATGGTTCTGGGGAGAATGGCGCAAGTTGGATGCTGTGCATATGTTTCCAAATATCTGTATTCAGCAGTAATCATGACTTCCAATCACTCCTGAAACTTAGTGTGTACAGATTATCAGGAGTGTGCTGTAACAGAATGGCACTGTGGTCTATTGCGAGGCTGTTTTGCTGATCATACGTTGGTTTCTGTAATATTTTACTGGTATGAGGGGAAGCATATTATGTGGATATTTAGGTTTCCATTGATATTTCTTTTCCACCTCCTTAATTTTTATGATATGCTAAATCAATACTTTATGTCTTTACAGGGTTAGATGATTTAGTCATGCAGCTTAATAAGACTGTACTTAAAGCGACTGGAAGGCATGCTCTAAATGTACGGGTCTTAATGGGTGGCGAAGAAGTAAGGTAATTTGATGTACATATTACAGTGCTGTTTGGAAAATATATAGTTTGAGCTATTTGCAGTGTCATTAAATGAACTAAGAGTAAAGTAAACATCGCATTGCTGCATCTTCTGCTTTCCTGTGTTTAATAGGTACAACATATTAACAGTTCATTACGGTGAATAATCTCAGAATTACTTAATTCATAAGGGTGATACATGCTCTTTCACAGTGAAATTAGATTGAAAATAATTTTTACTATTTATTGTTGATGCACCTTGTAATTACATATTGTACTTTCTTTCAGAATTTAATTGAACTATATAGCTGATATAGTTGTTTTCATTTAACATTCTGGAGAATTATTCTCAGTCTCAAGAAAGACGAGCCATCCTGACAGGTTCTTTTGTGTGGTTTTTCCAGCTCATCAAGCAGATTCATAGAGAGTGTGAAGTATACAAGGACTTCATCAGTCTCAAATTCATTACCCACCTTATAATATCGGTTGTCATCCTCATAAAATTATCTGTACAGATGACTCATTATTACATGCCACATGTTACAGGATGCTTTCTTGACATCAAAATAATTAAAAAGTTCATATGAAGATGACCCTGAGAGTGTTCTTTAAAAATTTACAGTATTTTTCTAACTTAAATTTCTGTGTTCACACCGTGAAAGTTTCCTGAGTTTAATGCATTGCAAATAAGAGAAAGACTAACAAAAGAACTATTAATAACCTCAGCCTCCATGTTCATGGACACATGACCCAGCTCTGTGTGAAAAGAAATTGGCAAGCATTTGAAAATTCCATGTGTTTCTTGTTTCTTGCAAATTGTTTGATTTGATGCCACAGTTCCTCACTGTTATCAGTTGTAGTGGCATAGACCATGGTCTGTTCTCTCCAGTAGGTTGATGGAAAACTGTTGCTGTTGCTGCTGATGAGATTGAAGCCTGACACATGTTCATAGTGAATGTTAGTGATCCCAGTCCTAGTGAAGCACAGTTCATCCATGAAGAGAATCTAGGATCTTTGGCTGACTGTTAGCAAGATTCATTGACAGAACACATATCTGGCAGGTGCATCTTGTGGTAATAAGTCACGCACAGGCCAAATGTGATAGTGATATATTAGCAGTTCTTGTAATCTTTAGTGTGCAGAAGCATGGGAAATATGTGTACGAGCTGCATGATTTCTGGTTCTGATGGTAGGCTGTATTCAGTGACTTGGAGGATCTACTGTTCCATCTGTACATTACGTACAGAACATGAATGGCCACCATCTTGTCACATTCCATGAAATGGTCTTGTCTCAAAAGAGCTGGCAGAATGACTGCAATGTTGACATAATTGGCAGACAGCATCTACTGTAACTACCACCACATCTGATAATGAAATGGAAAAAAAACTATGCGTAAAGGCCACTGCCTGTGCTCTGTTTTGCAGTATGATTTCCATGCGCAGACTTAACTCTCAAGCTAAGACAGAGCATTGAGAAGACTGACACACCATTCAGACTTTCTAATCGTTTTCTGCTCACTCTTCTTCAGTTGCTGAAAATATGTCGGATGATATATTGTATGTGGCTCTTGCCGTCATTTTCAAGAAAAAGACTGGGTTGATGTGGACAAAAAATTGGTCATTGAAATTGAATTTTCTATCACACAAACCTACTAAGTGAACTGAGGCTAAATCTGGAAGACGTGTTGAATTATTTAAGGATGGATGAAGGTACATGCCTGGAACTACTTCATAAAAACATTCCACACATTGAAAAATCAGACAGTTATGAGAAGAGCTGTCACTCTGCATGAAAGACTCAGTGTTACACTGCAGTTCTTAGCAACTGGCCAGAACTATGAAGATTTAAAAGTTTTCTGCTGTAATCTCTGCCCAGGTTCAGAGTAATAATTCCAGTTCTTAGCAACAGGCTGGAACTATGAAGATTTACAGTTTTCTACTGCAATCTCTGCCCAGGCTCTGAGAGTAATAATTCCAGAAAAGTGAACAGCAATCTATGAGGAACTAAAATAAGTATACTGTAAGGTGTGATAAACTTTATTAACAATAAACTATCATCCAAATTTTAAAAAGTTTCAGTATGTGTTTATCAGTACAAAATCATCAAAGAAAATTAACGGTCTTGTATTAGAAATTTATATTGTATTAAGATTGCATTCATAAATGTAGTTATAGAAAATAATCTTTTTCTCATTAGCATATAGAGTTCTCTTTCATAAGTTTTGGCACTTCGCTGTATATTCACTGCTCTTCTGTAAAGGATCTGTCAACCTGGAAATTAAAAAGATAGCATTAATATTGTAACACACTTGATCAACACATTGCCAAGCAAAGGCTCAGTAAACATCCTAAACAATAGGGAGACTGTTTTCAATGGGGTCTGCACCACAACTGTTGCTATGCAATGATGGTAAATCCGCCTCTACAACAGTTGAGACTAGGATGTTGCACAGTGTAGCATCTACACGGTGCCACATCCCAGAAGACTGCTTTCTTCATAGTCACCGCCGTGAAAACCTCACATCTTACAATTGAGACTATATTTTCTGTGGGGTCTATGCTGCAGCTGTATAACAAGAGATGTGAGGCTCAGCGAAGGCTTGAAGACCTGTGGATAGTTTGTAGCTTGGCTCAGATTCAAATTAGATATCTCCTGACTAGAAGTTTACAACATTCCCTCTTCTTGACTACATGAACCTCCTCTGTTGCGGGGTTCGCAACCCCTTTTCAATTTTAGGAACTTGAGTCTGATGTCTGGGGCCATGCCCTCTACTAAATTTACAGCACACCAAGAGGTTGACATGCTTCCTCAAAGAAAAAATGTTATATCTACCCTTGCCATTCCATAAATTAGTGGGGTCCTGGAGTGTTTCGTCTGGGACCTATCCTTCAACACCAGCTGGTGTAATCTGATCTGCGTGAGGGTTCATGTCTCGAGATATTGGTCTGCAAGTTTAGTTTTTAGAGAGGTCTTAAGAACAAGAGAGAGGTTGGAGGGAGCATTTTGTCTGGGTTGGGGCTATGGGAAGGCTGGCCAGGCTTACGTCCACCAGCGCTTGTATGTAATATACACTAAGAATCAATAAATCCTCTATTATCTGTAGTGAGTATTTGCTCTTTGTGGTTGGAATACCCGCTCAAGCAGCCAACTGACCATCACCATCACTGAATTATTACGCCACCGCTCGGCCAACGCAATTCAGTCGACCCGCCACCATCTTGGGTCACGACACCTCGGTCATAAGTGATTTTATTCATATTATTTTTCTTGCAGATGGTTGTACAAGAATGCAGCAGTAACAGAAGTTACAGCTGATTCTAGAGATAGTCAGTATCTTGTTCTGAAAGTTGTGATCTCTGAAGCACAGTTAAGGAAGTTTCAGCATAATTTTATTAAGAGGTGATCCTGTGTGTGTGCGCATGGGAAGGGGTATATAAATTCAAGCTCTTACTAGGTAAGACGATAAAATTACATTTAAGCTCAGCTATAGTTCATAATTCTTCCAGTTAAATATGAGCAATGATCATGTACTCCTCCTATGACAGTTAATAAATCAAAGAGGTAGCTGATGGAGTAAATTGTTCATATTTGCTAACCATACTGTGTAGGATTTGAAGCAGATTTTTAGTGGTGTTTGATGTTTTCTTCCTTTCTTTTATAATAGGGACTTTTATAACATTTCTTGCTATGTTACTATGTCACAATTGTAATTTCCACATCATCATCATCATCATCAGTAATCTGTCAAGACGACAGGTCTACAGTCTCTTCCAAAACAATTCCTCCACTTAATGCGATCTAGAGCTTTCTCCTTCAAATGACAGTATTCTCTTCTGTCCCCAAGGTCATCCAGCATCTTCTTACGTCTTCTTCCCACTTCTATCCGCCCCTCTATCTTTCCTTCGATAACTTCTTTTAGAAGGCAGTTTCTGCGTAAGACATGACCAATCCAATTAGCCTTCTGTTTTCTTATTTCGTGTAGGATATTCCTCTGCTCACTGACTCTAATTAACACTTCATTTCTCATATAATCAGTCCAACTGATCTTCTCCATCTTTCTCCAACACCACATTTTGAAACTTTCCAGATGTTTCTGATCTACTGCCCTAAGTGTCCATGTTTCAGCCCCATACAGAACTATGCTCCAAATGTAGCATTTCACTAGTTTCTTCCTCAAATTTAAGTCCAATTTGCTGGTAAAAATATTCTTCTTCTTGCTAAATGCAGCTTTTGCCATGGTAATCCTGGATCTAATTTCACACGTACACCTTCCATCATCTGTTAACAAGCTACCCAAATATTTAAAACTTTCACATTCTCCAGTTGTTTTTGGTCTATCTTTATTGTGACTGGGGTTGGTTGTCTCGAAATTTTCATTACTTTTGTTTTCTCCACATTCATTTCCATGCCATAGCACCTTCCAATTTCAATTAGTCTATCAATCATCCCCTA